CGCAGCATGCCGACGTGCTGGTTGCTTCTTTTCGCAGCTACCTCAACCTGTTTTGAACAGTTGAGGTCGCTCTGTACGATCACACCAAGATCACGTTCCTAGGAGCTATTCTGCAATTCGTTTGTCCCAAGCATGTAGATGTAGGTATGTCTATGGCGTAATTGTACGACGCGACATTTGTCTACGTTGGACGGTGGAGCTTTTTGAACTGACCAGTTCGACACTGTGTTAAGATCGTGCTGGAGCCGTTCATGGTCATCCGGTCCTCTGATCCTTCGCCATATCTTGATATCATCGGCGAAAAATAAGAAATCGGAAGTAATTGATCTCGCCAAATCGTTAATGAACACCAAGAATAGACGAGGTCCAAGAACCGAGCCTTGTGGTACTCCACACGTCACGTCGATTGCGTGAGAAAATGATTCTCGGACTCTCACCAGTAGTCGTCGTTCTTGTAGCAAATTGCTAATCCAACTCAGGACTGGATCGCCAATGCCGTAGTTCCGAAGCTTCTGAAGGAGAACTCGATGGTCTAAACGATCAAACGCTTTTGAAAAGTCCAGGTAGATGACATCGACTCTAACTCCATCATCAACAGCTTCAGTCCAGCTATTACGTGCAATTAATAGGTTAGTATTACACGAATGCTTTTGACGAAAGCCATGTTGCTCTGGGGCTATTAACTTGTGGATTTCCAAATATGGCATTAGCGCGTCCGCGATGATTGCTTCCAACAATTTGGATAGTACGGGAAGTAGTGTTATCGAACGGTAGTTGGAAGGAACAGTGCGGCTACTTCCTTTATGGATAGGAGTGATGACCCCTTGCTTCCATACTGGTGGAATAAGGTTTTCCTCTAGACACCGCTGATAGAAAACAGCCAGTGGTTCTGCTAGGTCACTAGCTACCGTCTGCAGAGCCTTTGGTCAGATGTTATCAGCTCCGGGAAAACTGTGGATACGCAAGCATAACAACATCTTTAACACAGTTTCCGTAGCGAAGGTGATGTTTTCTAAACCAGATGGTGGAGTATCAGAAATGAGGTGAATGTTTGGGCTCGACACTTGTTGGAACGTTTGGGAGTAAGGAAGCCGCTAGGAGATCAGCTGCTTCCATTGCTGACCGCGTGTATCCATCAGCCGTGACTAGCGCCGGAACCCCTCGCTTTACCTTTCGAAGGCCGTTAATGTGCCTGTACAGGAGTTTGTGGTTAGTGCAGAATCGCTTCATTAACTTCTGCTGATGCGTGACCTTGTCTTCGCGGATCAGTTTCACGCAGAAGTTACGATGTGTCACGTATGCAGTCCAGGTTTCGGCATTCGGGCAGCCCTGGTGATTTCGCCATGCCAAATCCCTCCGGGACATACATTTACGTGTTCTGCTCCTCAGAAATGACTTACTCTGGTTTTTGGGTTGGAAGGACTTCTGTTCCGATGCTTGCGCTACCAGTGTGCTCAAAGTCCTTGTAAACATATCCCAGGCCAGATCTGGGGAGCCTTCGATTAAAAAAGTCCAAGATGTATCCTTAACAAGTTTGAACAACACACTGTAGTGCGTGACAGTGTGCACTTTTTCCTCCTCCTTCTCCGGGTACTCAGAATAGCATATATAATCAAAGAGTAGAGTGACATGATCACTATGACCCAGTAGTGTGCTTGTAGCTAACCCGCCAACCATGAGTTCTTCGTTAGTTAGCACAAGATCCAATATCGACGGCTTGTTAGAAGTTCGAAATCTGGTGGGAGAGGTTACGTGATTGTAAAGAGGGTGCCCAGTTATAAGTTCTTGCAAACAGGCTTTAAGCTGCTTACCGTCGGTCGCCGGCGCTTCTATGTCGTGCACGTTAAAGTCTCCCGCGATAAGAATGTGGGTGTAGGACTAGTTCAAAGGAAACTGAAAAACGTGGTACAGTTTGGAGTCCATTTCCGATGCTGTGTTTGGCGAGCGATAAACCACGGCTAGTAGACATGTGTCTTTGTTTCGCAACCAAAGGCGGCACCAAAGCGAATCGGGAGCTCGGATTTCCAGGTGATCGATAACTTCATATCAGAGGCTTGTATTAAAGTAAATAATCACACCACCCCTTCCGGTTCTATTGGTCCGAAGCAGCGGCATGCCGGGTAACTTGATCTCACAGTCTGTTATCTCAGGGTTTAACCATGTCTCTGTAATTATGACGAGGTCCCGCGGTTGGAGGCATGGAGTTCCCTAAGTTCGGCCAACTTGCTTCGAAGGCCTTGAGCGTTTGTGTACATGCAGGATAGGGCTTTTGTGGTTAGCAGTTCATTGGTGGATGTCAAGTTTGTGTTCGTTTTTAAGCCGGCCGTTAGGTGGCCGGCAATTAATCGTTTTTTGGTTTGTGTATTTCAGTCGTGTTACATGACATTATCGAACGTTCCTGACCTGATGGTGCACTCGTGCTGTGCTCGGTCCTCCTGTGTGACGTGGGCGCTGTTTTGTCGGTCTCTCCGAAGGATTGTGCAAATAAAGAATTTGCAGCGTTTGCAAGTTCCATCGCATTTCTTCCGACGTTTGGGTAAGGAAATGTGAACTCACATGCAAAAGACGCACGTATAGTGCTCCTGGTCTCCGGTGTATGCGGCACATACCTGATGAAGCCACCGGTTGCATTTGCAGCACATCACCCAGTGAACGGTGTCTTCGCCGGTTCCCTGTCCGTTCTCCGTATCGCAAATGATGCAGGCGTTTTCGTTCTTGTTTGCAGGTTGTATATTCTCAGCTCTGGCGCGTTTATTCACGGCTTTCACACTGCGGAGGTGACAGTCGGCATGCGTCGGAAGTGCAGGGGTACGTTTCGGTAGACAGTTGCGGGGCTTCCATCACCCTAGGTGAAAGCGACTGCTTCCTTTTTCTTGCCTGGGGCCGTGGACGCTGTGGTATAGCATCCGCCTAGTGGACGTTGTCAGGGAGGCAATTTCCAATGGACAGCAGTCTCTGCCTCCGAAGCAAGGTATTTAGGCTGCTTTGGTAGAAATGCTCTGCCTCAAGGAAAGCCATTGTACACAGGCTGGTCATGGCAACGGTTAAATCACCGAACAGCCGGTTAGCATGAGACAACTTTTCCTCACGCGTTAACACGGCGTGCGTGGAGCAGATGTGGAGGGCATCGGTTCAACTTCCGCCCGGAAGGTTCCCCATCCAGGATAGGAATCTGATGGTCCACCATCGACCAACGGCTTCTGTGCATAAGGGGGGTAACGTCTGCGGTTAACATCCCAGCTACTCGCACAATGTGTGCGCATGGCATATCCCATTGCCTAAGGAAACTGCAATCACAGGTCATCTTGTTACCCGCAACAACGGTGTGCTTTCGGTCTCCCTTACCTAATACGTCATACCCAGTGCCGTTCGGCCGTATTGAGGTGACCGTCTCTGAAGAAATGTGCCGCATAAATATGGCGGCAGCATAAGTAGAAAGGCAGGAAACCAACTCTCTCACCTGCCCTGTTGCCGGAAGGTTGCGCGATTTCTACATCCGCAATTTGCCTAATGACGTGGTCCAACGTGATTCCGCATTGCGTGCTCTCCGTACAACTGCCTCAAAAAGTTGCAACAGCGATGTCCTTTCGCTTAATCCACACTTGAGGTGCTTATTTTCGTTCTCCACTCTGTTTGTTGTGAAGGCACCGAACATACGCACATCGCGCAACCGGTGGTACTCCCAGCTTCCTGCGAAGGGCAAACACGTCCGACTGAGGTAAGTGAATGCCTCGTTGCTTCTAACCCTTATCACTCTGAGCAGCATCTTAAATTGCAATTCCGTCTTCGTGTACACTAATCGGTGCATCCACTGCTTGAGCAAAACTCTGTCCGCCTTCTTCACTTTTGACAAACACTCAACAATTCTTACTCAACAATTCCGCTACCGCTTTTACGTCATGCCCCTTAGATACCCCACCTAAGCGATGGAGGATAGAAACTAAGTCCTGTCGATTCAGTCGTTTGTTATATCTTTCCAGGACATAGTCTCGCAATTCTCCGGTATTACGGAAGGACTGCATTAAATCAAACACTTGCCGCTCCGACTCGGGAGGCAGACGCCGGTTACCCACGTACAAACTTGGATTCCCCAAGTGAAAATTATGATTATGCACCAGACAATGCGAGCCTATCTCATAGTAAATGCCCTTAGCACTGATGGATATGCTGGCTTTACAACCGAGGCTGACGTACCTGTGAAACATGAATTACGCATAAAAAATCGTTCGCGTTTACCGACTGCCACCGTCTCCTTTCCGGGTTCAATAAACACAACGATATTGTACCCATTTGTACCGCATCCCTTCCAGCAGCTCTTGACCGGAGCGCTTCTTATACGACGCAGCGGTCAACACGTCATATTTGTAAAACCTGGTCGCCGTCTGAAGTTAAAACCGCCTCAAATCTTCCTTGAATTCACCAAATGCCTTATAATATTGTCAAAAAGCAGCGCGGAAAGCAAGAGTATCCTCAACAACCATTGCAGCGAAACCGAAACAAACCTGCGCACTAAAACCAACACCATCTCATACACCGTAAAATAATGCACCTCCATTTTCAGTTACCCTAAATCAATATACTTTATTACACCCTTATCAGGCCTTAACAACGTATTTCATAACATTCATCCCCATCAGCCAGTACAGCAAACAGTACCGCCCCCAAAATACGAGCCGCTGTTTTCGCTTAATCCGACGCTCTCCGCTCCGTCTACGCTCTCGACGCCAACGACATGCTCCGCTGCGACTACGTCGCAGCACCGTTACCGCGCAAAGACCTAGTGCGCAATAAATAGTTTCCTTTCATTTTATGGCATGATTCCCGGCTATCATTGTGGCTTTGCGGTTTTATTTATGTCTGTGCAAATGTGATATTGCAATTGTTTGAATGTGTCAGAATCCAGATATGCACCGTTACCCCGCAAGACCTAGTGCGCGATAAATACTTTATGGTCATTTTATGGCATTATTCCCGGCTGTCTTTCTGCCTTTGCAGTTTTATTTATGTCTGCGCAAATGTGATATTGCAATTGTTTGAATGTGTCGGAAACCAGATATGTGGTAGAAACAGTATTTTCGAATCCGTACGCCATTGAGTCTGATTTCCGGATGATCCTCCTTGGGCGTTCTTTCGATAGCTTTTACGGGTTTAATAGTTTGTTTTCAGAGTATATGCTTCTTCATCATGTCAATTTCGTATGCTACAACAGCAGAAAGTGTAACCTGTCACGGGTGAAATACTACAGGGTCATTTATCGATTTGTCCGCTGCGCACGTGGAAGTCAAAAAGTACAGGAGTGTGAGGAGTTTAGTAGGATTTCGCTTTTAATTTTCTACATCTTTCAGCTCACGTAATGCTAAATGCCAAGCGCGCGTTAACCTCATTAGAACGGGACGCAAACTAAAAGTCACAACGTTCGATCTCTCTCACAATCACCCAGTTAATGGCGTTCTTTTTGAGCGACACCCCATCAATCGCCGTCTGACTTACGATGAGTTCACTCCGTCCGTTGAACTTTTCCGCTACAACACCCCAACTGGTACTGGTGATCTATTTCCTTACCTTTCATCGATATGTTGTCGAAAGGGAGCCGTGGAATTCCCCTCAAACAGAGGTATTGTGCAGAATAGATTGCCAAAGTAAGCTATTCGGTGAAATTTAAACTCCCATTTTCACTTCATTTTAGCGTCGACATTGATGCCAGCCCAGTAAAGGAAACGCAAAGAAGGAAAATGCTTGTTCAGATAAAAATTCATTTAATTACCCGACAGTAGGCTGTATGTTCGCACTACTATTATATTTTAGCCGATGGATACGACTTTGTGTAATGATACCCTGGATGGGACATGCGCGTCCAAGGCACGAATATAGTGAACGACGCTGAACCTTCTCTCGCTGCCTTTTGTTAAATACAAGGCAGTTTTTATATCGGTTTCTGCGCTCATTTGGAATTACAGCTTTTTAAACAATGAACTGGACTAGCGGCACGTATGCTGCCAGTGCAATAGGATCCAGGTGGGTTGTCATAGCACACGGCTCGAAATCTCTTGTTCGTTGTATATAGGCTCCATCAGTGGCACATTTAGTGTCAACGTAATAGGAGCCATTTGGGCTCTAATAGCATACGACTCGAAGTCTCGTGGTCGTTGTGTGTAGTCTCCGTCAGTGGCACATTTGGTGCCGATGTAATGGGACACAAGTGGGTTGTAATAGCACACCGTTCCCAGTCTCGTGGTCGTTGTATATAGGATCCAACAGTGGCGCATTCGGTGTCAACGTAATAGGACCCAGTTGGGTTGTCATAGCACACGACTCGAAGTCTCGTGCTTGTTGTACATAGGCTCCATCAATGGCACATTTGGTGCCGATGTACTAGGACCCTAATGGGTTGTATTGGCATACGACTCAAAGTCTCGTGCTCGTTGTACATAGGCTCCATCAGTGGCACATTTGATGCCGGTGTACTAGGACCCAAGTGCGTTGTATTATCATCTGACTCCGAGGGTTGTGCTTGTAGTATACAGGCTCCGACAGTAGCGCACCCACGATCAGGCTGTGGTAGCCTCATATAATGCATACCGTTGGCTGAAAGTCATCCTAATTAACTTTCGTTTGGACGAGAATTGGTAATTCAAAATCAATTTATGGTTTGGGTTTGTGGCTACTTCATTGCGTAATTATAATTAATATGAGGCTTTCCGCTTCACTTTTACGATATTTTTACCATGAAACTTTCGTTGCTAAAGTTCTATGGGCATTGAAAGACATACTAATATTAACCAAAAGGTCGTCCATAAGGTGTAAATTTGCACTGCTGAGGGCCAAAAGTCTGGTCATTTAGGGAGTTACAAAACTCACACGACGGCACACGCTTTCGCTGCTCGCGCTGAAGGGATGCATATTCCGTCAACGTTACGCGGTAATCAATTACAGACTGGTAAGTACGTAGTGCCACAGTGACGAATTATACGTTACCCATGGGGCACTAAAGATCACTTGCGCTGACAGAAAGTACGGTTAAAAAAGGGATTTAACTTAAGAAACAGCGCCGATAGTTATTTAGTACATTAGTTAAACAGATTCCTGGGCATGTAAAGACATTTATCTTCATCTCCTGTTGCTTCTCCGCCGGTGGCCAAAAGCACGCCTCAGTGGGAGGCTTCGCTGTAAATATGTTTGGATAAAATGATAATTCAGAGGGAAAATAATGCTGCAAAGGGTTCCTATGGTTTTACAAAAGCTTCGCTGTTAAAGAAGCCACTTAATTATATCTGCTATAATGTATCCACTGCTATGGAACTAACAATCCCCAAGTGTTACTTATTTCATTATATTAATAATGCGTTTCACATTAAAAGTCCGAGGCTAAAGATATCGGCACAATAGGAGACTAATTAAATAGTCCAGGAGGAAACTAAACGTGGACGGCAGGTATTTTTAATAAATGCGCTCAGAAACGGTATGCTTATCTTTTATAACTTGGCGAATAATTACTACTTTAGTTACCGATATTGCATTAGTGGTACGCATATTTAAGGCAAATATAGCTGCATGCATTGCACACTTTGATGTTTCCACCTCGACAAGTGGACGCATAATGACGCAAATTGAATATTAGCACTTTTGCAACGCAGCGGACACAACTAATTAAGTGGACACCAGTTAGCATTCATTTCAAATCCGTTTTGCTAAACATCTCGTCTGTGTTCTCTTTTGCGTTTAACAACATCTAGACAGGACGCCGAGAGGACGCAAAAAAGATAACCCACGGACTATTAACGGACCCTCGTGCCAACAAGCTTTTACAAACGAAAGATTTTACGGTATAGGTTGCGTAAATCCAATGCTTTTAACAGAATTCCAAGACTGCGAATTAGTTAAATACAGCATCCATGAAAACAAGCGACCTAGTTTTGACTTTTAGCATTATATTGCGCTCGCTGTGCAATATTGGACATAAGAATGTGGATATTTCTTTGTCTAATTAATTTCCCAAATTTGCAGCGTTTGGTTAACCGTATTGCCAAGCATTCGAATCCGCGGCAAACGGTTGATGGCCTTTTAGCACACTAAAACACAGTTTTGAGGTTACACCAGATTAGAATGTCAGAGTCTAGAGGTCAATTGTTTCACTCCCGTCCGACCAATCAAAAACGTCACCAGCTTTAAAGGGCCCTGCTAGGTCTGCGACTAACGGGCAGCACATTCTCCCTAGCTAGCTCTCTCCGGGTGCCCTATTTTTAGCATTAGCTAACGCTCCTCCCGTCTAATAAACTTCTTCCCTAGTTTACTTCTGTGTCTTCTACCCACTACGTTTGGTTGGTCGTCTAGTCGCGTACCGGATATGCAGCGCACGATCCACGCGCTATAATTGCTGACCCCGAAAAAGAACTATTTTGCTGAGTTCGGTACTAATATTACTTTGCTGATCCAGTTAATTATTCTGTCCACCCTTCTACTTCTACTTTTTAATACTTGCATTCACTTTCACACGCTCCGCAATTTTTCACCATGAAGGTTATTCACTCACTGACGTTCAGCTTAGTGCGTTCCGTTTTCCTATCCCGCCCTTCCGTGATACTGACCCCAAGGCCTGGTTTAACCAGCTAGAGTCCATTTTTCGTTACATGGCGTTAACTCTGACAGCGTCAAATTTCACTGCGTTGTCGCCGCGCTTCCCCCGCAAGTCGTCGATGACCTCGACGACATCTCGGAATTTCCGGAACATCAGAAAAGTTACGATGGGCTTAAGGCCTTCGTCTTAAAGCGATTTGGCATATCAGACCATGCTTGCGTCACGCAGCTTCTTAACGAAACCGAACTTGGGGATCGAAAGCCTTCCCAGTTGCTACACAAGATGCAAGCTCTGGCTAAGCCTCTCGCTGTTGGCGACTCTTTCCTTAAACAGATGTGGCTTCGTTGCTTGCCACGTGACATGCGCAATCCCTTGTATGCAAAAGTTGCGCCTCTTCCTCAGCTCGCCGATATTGCCGACCGTATTTGGGAATCCAACGTTCAAATATCCTAGGTTCAGTCTACTTCCAGTACAGAGGTAGCAGAACTAAGAGCGAAAGTAGCCGCATTGACCAACCGACTAGAGAAGCTAACACAATCCGGATCCAACCGCCGAAATCGTTCCAGTAGTCGCAGTCCTCCTAGATCACATTCGAAATCTCCCCCTAGGTCAAGCTATTGCTGGTACCACGAGCGATTTGGTCACCAAGCCAGATCGTGTTTCCCGCCTTGTTCCTTCAAGCGCAACACGCAGGGAAACGGGTAGGCCAGCAAGTAGGGGCGACGGACGTTGCTGGCTGCCCCAGTCGCCTTTTCTTTGTCACCGATCGCAGTACAGGAGTACGCTATCTCGTTGACACCGGCGAAGAAATCAGCGTTATCCTACGTGATTCCAATGATAGCGAAGAGACGACCGGTTCATCGCGCGCAGCAAACGGCACCACCATTCGCGTGTATGGTCAGCCCTCGCGCACGCTTAATTTAAAACTACGACGTTCATTTAAATGGATCTTTCTCGTCGTAGAGGTCCAGACGCCAATTCTTGGTCTTGACTTTCTTCAGCATTTTGATTTGCTTGTTGACGCGAAACAACGACGTCTGATCGATGGTCAAACAAACCTGGCAGTTATAGGTACTTTGACCGACATAGAGTCAATCAGTCCTGTATACGCCAACCTGTCAAGCTCGCCTATCGGTCAGATGCTTAATACGAAGTTCCCGCAAGTCTTTCGTGCAATGGCACCGTTTTTTTTGCCACTGATGCTGCGAAACATCACATCATTACGAAAGGTCCGCCTGTTTTTGCCAAAGCCAGGCGAATGATCCCTGAAAATTTGAAGATTGCTCGCGCAGAATTCGAGCACATGCTTGAACTAGGCATCATTCCCCCATCTAAAAGTCCTTGGGCGTCGCCGCTCTACATGGTGCCCAAAACGTCAGGAGAATGACGTCCATGTGGTGATTACTGCGCGCTCAATAACGTTACTCTTCTTGACCGATATCCGATTCCTCACATTCAGGATATCACGGCAAGCCTGCGGGGCACCCGTGTGTTCTCGAAATTCGATCTGGTTCTCGCGTATCACCAGATTCCAGTCGCAGAGGAAGACATCCTGAAGACTGCTCTAATCACACCGTTCGGGCTGTTCGAATCTTTGCGTATGCCGCTCGGTCTTCGCAACGCAGCCCAGACCTTTTAACGACTCATTGATTCAGTCACTAGAGATCTAAATTTCGCTTATGCATACATCGACGATATCCTAGTTGCCAGCGCTTCTAAAGAACAGCACGCGGAACATCTCAAAATACTTTTCGATAGGCTGGCCGCTAATGGCATCACTGTCAACCCTGACAAATGCATATTTCAGCAGCCAACCGTCGAATTCCTTGGCCACCATATTGATCAGTATGGTATACGGCCTCTAGACGATAGAGTCCGCGCCATCAGAGACTTTCCGGCTCCGACTAGGTTAGCCGCTGTTCGCCTTTTTAACGGCATGCTAAACTATTATCGACGTTTTCTTCCACACAGTGCCAATTTGCTAAGTCCACTAACAGACCTACTTCGTGGACGTAAAAACGGCCGGGTGGAATTGACTGCTGCTGCTGCCGAAGTTAAGTACAG